TTAAAATAATAAAAATCATAAATATTATTGAACACATGAAATAGCCAATAGCTTTTCTATACATAGGTAGGTACTGAATTAATAGAATAATTCTACCTACCCATAATTATTATTATATAGTAGGTACACAATTCACACAAATCACTGAAACGCGGTAGGTATTGTAAATCCGAAATCGTGTGTTGCGTGCCGATAGAGCCGAGAACGAAAAGTGAACCCATGTGGGCTATGAATATTTTGTCTACTGACAATATTGACTGTTTATAAATATAAACATTTGAAATATAAATGTACATGGGCACAACCCAATTAGTTTTAATTTAAAAATAACCTATTTATGGCGAAAATATTTTACATTATGTTCTTCAGAATTGTACATTTTTGATTTGTATCTATATCAAAATAATAAGATAATAGGTTTATCATATTACTTATTAGTATTTATTAATTATTATTATTACAATATGCCCGTATGCCGATGTATGGTACGGTATATCTTTATATATACGATACACCTCTATGTTATAATATAATTGGCTATTGGCTATTGCATATTATTATATCTATATGTATTTAATCGAGTTATTTTTCTTGAAGAATTCTGGTTAACGGAACGAGAAATTAATTTAACTATATTTGTAATTTCCTATTCTAATAAATGGTTATGTAATATCAATAATAATTTTTTTTTTATTATATTTATTATTTAATTATTTATAAATTAACTTAACTTGAATTTGATTAAAAGTAACTCGTTATTTATTAAGTTTATATCAATTAAAATAAGTTAAGTTAAAAATTAAGTTAATGAAAATTAAATTTCAAAAAGTTAAGTTAAAAGTTAAAATTAACTTAACTTTTAACTTAACTTTTAACTTTTTAACGCGTTTATGCCCAGGCTTGAATAAATCACAATCAATAACACTTGTACAATTACGAAAATAAAACAATTTGGTCAAAAGACCTCTAACATTCTGGTAATTAGCATGTAAACTTAAAAATTTTGAGAATTTTTTACAATTTTATCAATAACAACAATACCCGGTGTACCTTTAGTAAATTTGATTGTGAGATTTTGTTCACCACTGGATTGGCGTGCGGCTAATTGATCCCGTAATTTCTTCATTTGTTCACGTTGAAATAGAGTTCTATCTGAACTTATACCAATATTTGAAGAATTAGGAGGGAGGCGAGATAAAATATGTTTCTTATTTTTCAATATATCGAAAGCATCACCAGCTGAAGAGAAAATTGCTTTAATTGGACGATGTTTATTGGGTTGATAATACTTCCCGAGACGAATAACTTTAATCGGTGTTTTGTTATCGGACGATGTACCTTTGATAATTTTAGATATTTCTTCCTTATCGTAAAGTACTCTTTCTTCAATATTACTAGACGTACATTCCGGAATATTATAAAATAATACATTCGCAGCCCGAAAATGTCGTTCGTTCATTTCGTTTATTATAAATTCGTCAGATCTCGATGAACACGAATTATTCTTAAGATTTTCAACCTCAACCAACAAAGAACTGATTAGTTTTTTCAAATCCGGTAATTCATTTAGTCCTTTATCGCATGAATCGCAAAAATATTTTAATTTACGATTTTTCAAAGTAAGACATTTAATCTCAGAAGCTAATAACCCAGAGCACTTGTGATGAACAAGTCTCGGACAACTGTCACATTTTAATTGAGCGTCAAGATCATTAAATTGTAGCTCACAAACACCGCAACTATTAGTATTCAAAACCATTATAATAAAAAAAAAAAACCGAACTAATGCGATCAAACTGATTAAAAATTGAACAATATTACGTAAGTAAACTGATAAGACAGGTAAACGCAACGAACGTGTTGTCTAATCGACGGTTGAAACTCAATTTAGTAATTTAGTATAAGTATTTAAAGTTCAAATTTTGATAAAATTTATCATATTTAAAATTTAGTAATAATTTTGTAGTTAAAAATGTATAAAACGTTCAACTTTTATAGCTAAAGATTGAAAATTTATAACAAGATTCCACGTAAATAGGTTATATATAAATTACTTTATTCACCTTAATATCATCAAATATACTTCGTAATATCATAGGCTGACTGATCATCAGCAGATATTTTTTTTGAGAACTTTAATGCATCTAAATCAAAATTCGAAGTAGTAGTTTTTGAGTTATAGGAATAACTTTGTGTGCTAAGGATAATATGTATATGGGAATTAGCTAAGTAGATTTGGGGGCTTAGATGATTTGAATATGTAAGTAGTTAGTTGTAAGTACTAATTAGTAATTACCATTGATCTATAATTTGTAAAAATTATTAAGTAGGTATACTGATAATAGTGAATAGGTAGGTACATACTTATAGTTTTTTATTGTAAGCTATATTTTAAGGATTATTATCCTTAGTATACACATTTTAATAATTCAGCAACTACTTATTAGAACTCTGATTTAGATACATCTACATTTATCTGCTAAATAATTTGTAGTAAAAAAGAAAATTCTCATTTGAAAAATAGAGGTTTGTATAGCCACAGGACACTCTGCCTAAATATTCTTCTGCAGAATAGCAGAACAAAAAATATCAGGAATTTGAATAAATGTATTTTGAAAGGAAATGAGCATTTCCTCACCAATATGGCAATATGTCAAGTAAATTTTGTATTTCATTATAGGGCATTAGGGCCCCTTAAAAAACTGTTCAATGGGCCTTTGGTGTGCCAGGCTGACACTGTGTGTGTGATACAGAACCAGCGTTTTAACATTCAAAATTCAAATATTGAATTCATTAACGACTTTAAAAATTGGTTTCGTGTTGAGAAACAACTTGTTCAACACATAAATATTTAAATCGTATACAATTTGACATAGGTACTAGTACAATAACACCGCCAAGCCATAACATCCGGAATGTACTTATATTGCCTATACAAAACGCCCAATAAACCAGATAAATTGTCGTGGTCGGTTTTTTGTTTATTATTTTATTTGCGGGAGTTTTTTCCTGTCAATTCATTTTTTTTATTGATCTGTTATTTACATTAGCAAGTTTTTTGTATAGAACCGACGGAATCAATTAAATACCTGTATAACATTACGAATTGTGTAATTTTCATAATATTTATAAAAATATAAAAGTCCACTATAATGACGTATTTTGATGAACTCTAATAAATTATAAATATAAAATATTTGAATTACATAAATAGGACTATAACGTACACGAATATTAAGAAACACCAAACAAAATATGTTTCAAACCGAGTTCGTATAAAATCAAAAATATTATTAATTAAATAGTAAATTAGTTACTATGACGATTGACGGTGAACACATCTGCGAACACATAGGTAGCATACTGGTAATATTAGGAATTTTAAATGTTGACCTCCCGAATGCACCAACTAGATCCACTTTCCCATCGCAAGATATTTTCGAAGAATATTGAAGCAGTTTTACTGCCCTAAACAGTGATGACAGACACAAAAATAAAAAATAAATAAAAATCACACATCATTGTAAAATCAATACATTCATCGCTCAGCTCAGAAACTAAAATTGATTATCTACTGACAAATTTCTGTTATTAAATACGTTTTCCAATCGAAATCCTATCCTGCAAGTGTGCAACCTTGTTGTGCTCCTTATACATTTTTATTACGTACAAAATATAATAGCTTTAAAACACAATATTTTTTGAACTAGTGCCTAGTGGTAATATTACGTAATGAGACAATATTAAAATAGCCTTAATATAGTTTACTTAAGTTAATAAAATGAAAAATACGAAGTGTAGATATCCAATTTAAAAAGGGGATATCATTTTTAATTATCACCTAGTTAATACATTTTAGTATGGTATACATAAACCTAGTGATTACTGATTGTGCAACTTTAAATTATTTTTAAATAATAACTATTTTGTTATAAATACAATATGTATATTATAATACTATATCATTCCTTGTTATTGGACTATCTATAGTATTTCTAGTTTCTACCTTAAGTATTTTTGAGAGAGTAACATATATCCATCTAAATATTTTAATGTCTTAAAAAATGTAATATCCATTTAAATATACAATATTTTTTTTATTTAAGTCATAAATAATAAATTACAAAACTGATAAATCAAACATTCAAAAATATTATCCATTATAATTTTTGTGGTAAATTATTCTACTCCAAGATAACTCAACAATCATAAAAAAAACAATTTTATGTGAATGATTTTTATCCCTGTTGAGCAAAGGTCTTGAAGAGAATACAACAATTTCACTGAAAAAGTGACATCCTATTAACCAATAAATTTTGACATTATATTAATTAGAAAATTAAGTTAATTAACTAACCTAAGTAAAACCAGTAAGGTTTTTAGTTTTTACAAAAAAAATGTTTAATTAATTATTAATTAATTCTCAATTGTTGTGATAATAATTATAATTATATCACTCTGCAACATTTTCAATTAATTTTTAAAGGATAGAATTTCGTCAACAATTATAATAATTATAATCAAATATTACAGTTTACTTAAATAAATAAACAATTTCAAAACACACTGAGCAAAATAAAAATAGTTGGAAAATGTGTAGACATTTATTTGATGGATTAAAATATTGCAATAATATTATAGTACTTGTAATAATTCAAAGTAGTCATTTTAAACATAAGCATATTTGTACATATTTGTATGTTATTGAACTTTATATCAAACAAATATGTAATGACACTAATGACTAGTGCAGTTATTCGTAATATTACTTATAAGTGATAAGTCCTTTTAATACTAATGAAATGTATAACGTCAGAAAACAAATTACATTTTTACACCTAATATAAATATGTACATTACATTGATACTTCACGCTGGGATTTATTAATTACTCTTAAAGGCAAAGAAAAATATATTATGCACTAAAAAAAAATAATTATTAACAGTATCTATATTTAACACACAAACAATTTTTTCTGGCTTTTTTCAAACAGACGACTTCAAGCATTGTTGTCAATGAACTGTACATCTGACATGAGGTAAATTGTTTCAGGCAGAGGTTTTGGTTGAGGGGACAACAGAGTTAACATTTGTTGTGAGGTGTCAACATTTGTTCTTGAGAAATAAAAAAAAAAATGTATTAAAATAGTTGTGCATCAAAATGTTTTTATATTAAATTGAATGATACTCAACAACACTTACACACAGACAAAACCAGCAACACTATTCCTCACAACGTCTTCTTCTACCGTTGTACTAAAACTCAGAGCTAACACGTGATGCATCATATTTAGCCCTGTAAAAATTGTCAAAATATTTATAAAAATATATATCTATATGGAAAAGTATTTTTATTAAATAATATTATATGCAACGCACTAAATGTTTTTTATATTTACCTGGTGTAACACCTTCAAGTTTTGGCTTAAAATCAGTTTTTTGTGTATCTAATGGCATCAATGCATTCGGAATGGGTGGAGCTAAAATTCTATATACTTTTATGTCGGAAAACCTTACTATGTAGGTGTGTGGATGAAGTACATTCCTAGGACTACCATAAAAGAATTCTCGAATACGTGCTTCTCTACCTTCCAATTTAAACTTATTACTCCTTGCAACTACCTAATTATAAAACAAATCAAATTTATAATAATACATCATAATTTAATTTTACTATATAAAAAAATGTTTTTTTTTTTTAACTGTGTGCATATTAATTATTATATAATAAGCCTAATTTTTTAATACACAGCCAATAGAAGTTAAATCAAATTGAACCATGGTTTAACACTGCATTTTATTATTTTCAGACAATTTTGCAGTCTACAAGACAAATAGTATAATTAGGTCTGCCTAATAAAGCTTAACGCATATAAAGACGATCTACAACTGCCAACAAAGGTGCATTTTTATCTCAAAAATATTGGGGGGGCTTACCATGAAAATTAAATTTACTGAATTTTCCAATGAGTATTGACTATTGACCATAGTATTTTATGGAAGAAATGACTAAGTGGGTCACAAATTCAAATCTTTCATAGTAAACAGATATTTTAGAAATGTAATGTAAAATATTTAAAAAAAAAGAAAACCCTTTATATTATATGTGTTGTACGGAATTGGTCTGCTGACCTAGGGTTAACACTTTAAGTTTTATCAGGCAGAGCTATTGATATTATTTTTTTTTTGAAGCCTATTATAAAGGTAGCCACATTAATCGATAAGTTCCCAAAGAGAATAATAAGAATAATCTTATTGGTGATACTTACTCCTCTACGTTTTGGTAAAAGAACAACTTTGACAAATCCTGGCATATCTCTCAAAAATTGTTTTTTTATTTTAATTTACAATTATGTTTTTATATTATCTAATCTGTGAACACTAAAAAACTTGAATGAGTTTTTTTAATATCGAAGAATTAAAAATTAAAAATACATATTTGAAAGATACATTGTGTTTGTTTACTCTGTCCGATCTAGATGCAATATAGAAATGTACGTTCAGTACAACAAATCTTGTGTTGTTAGCTTTAATATTAGAGTTAATTTAAGTTTAAAAAAATTATTTCTTTTGGGTATTGGCTTTTTAAATATTTTAACTTTTCTTTAGTATACTAATTTATCAAAATTTAAATACCTTAAAAAATCAAACAAACAACCACAGATAATGTTCTAAACTTTATGTTTTGAAATAATGTTAATTTACTTTAATATTTAAGCTAACTTTACAAGATGGGTTCTACTAAATGCAAATTTGGTATGTTTACATAAGTCAGATGGAAAACAAATAGTCTGCAACATTCCCTTAAAATTGAATATTAAACAGAAATATATCCATTTTGATAAAAAGATTTACCAATAGATAAATTAAATTAATTGCAATTAAACTATTTAGTAAATTTGAAGAAAAATATACATTAATGAATGTGATTTTAATATTTTAAAAACTTAAACTTGAACTTGATAGACTATGCATAAACATCACAATATAGTTAAAATTAGTAATAAATAGTAGAAATAAGTAATCTCCATTAAGTAAATTAATTTCAAAATTTCATTATTCTTACCATTGGGGTCTCTTTGGATATATAACTAATTCCTTTTTTTCCTCGTAATTTTAATGAACACCCTTGCCATGTAAACACCACAATTTTTGCTCCAAATAAAACTTATATGGTTTACTTTTTACTAATTCTGTCCCAAAAATTTCTGCCAGCCCAGTTTTCAACTAAAAAAAAATAAAAAAATCACCATTAATATATTACATAATATTATTATGTTTATAGGTTATTAGTCTATAGCCTTTAACAGAATATACCTATGTGACTTTACATATTTTATTACACGTTAAGTAGGTATGTTTATGTTTACATAAGTCATTCAGGACCCTCACTCTTCGTTTAAAAATAGAAATCACTTGATTCTAAACAGTATTTTTTTATTTTTTTTTTCGTGAAATAAATACAACTGTAAATACATTTTAAACAATTATAATTGCATAAGTTCATATTTATTCTTTTCAAATGTACCTATCTAATTATTAAAAAAATTTATAAGTGTATTTATTAATTACCTATTATTCTTAATTAACAATACCGAGATTATTTGAAAACTATTTCAACTAGGTATTATTAATCCTTTAATTCTATTATTATTATAATAATATACCATACTACTATACTGACATAATAATATGGAAGATATCATAATTGTAAATTAAAAATATATAGAGCTGTGTACTTGTTGTCGTAAAATTGTATTTACATTACCTACTACCTATCTTCACATTCAAATGTTGTATCAGATGTAACTGACTTGATGTACCTACCAATTTAATGAGTAACATATTTTATATGCAGGACTATTGGAGGTACTTACTTCTAACACAACTGTTTCATTCTTGTTTTCAACTTCAAACCTAAGTTCATGGTCAGGTTTCAATTGGAATTCCTGATCTTCGATTTGAAATTCTACGCTCTCTGACATGATTGATATGTATGTTTATTCAATATTTCAAAGCACTGAAAACACACGGAGAAACGATTAAAACATAAGTATAACACGAAGGTAAATGACTCGCTATAGCCGATTAGTGCAATTCTTTTGAAAGAAATCAAGACACACATTGTTACACATAAACCGACGAAAAACGTCTAACTAAAGTTGGTCCATTAATTTATCATACTAAAACTGACTTACAATATTGACGGCTGATCATAAAACAAAATTAATTCAGTTGGGTTTTTAACAAGCGTAGGCACACCACAGGGCACAGACGACATAAACAAAACAAAAAAAGGTTATTTATATCTTATTATTACAATTTTAAATTTAAACAGAAGTTGGGATTATGGAGACAGCTGATTATGGAGTTGCCGATGATTCGGACTTCCGTAAGGTTTAATGCCAGAAGGGAGCACCTCCGATAGTTAAACCAAAGAACATAACAATCGGCAGTCCCTCAAGTCAACCATAACTACAGATAATATTATAAAAATATCTGTGGACTGTGTCCATAACGTTGATAATTTTAAATAATTGTATCCATAGCCGTGAGTATAACTGTAAATAAATGAATTTGATATTGATATGATGGTTATTAGTCGATTATTATAAAAAAAATTGATAATTTTCCATCGTTGAAAATAAAGGTCTGCCTAATAAAGCTTAACGCATATAAAGACGATCTACAACTGCCAACAAACGTGCATTTTTATCTCAAAAATATTGGGGGGGCTTACCATGAAAATTAAATTTACTGAATTTTCCAATGAGTATTGACTATTGACCATAGTATTTTATGGAAGAAATGACTAAGTGGGTCACAAATTCAAATCTTTCATAGTAAACAGATATTTTAGAAATGTAATGTAAAATATTTAAAAAAAGAAAACCCTTTATATTATATGTGTTGTAGGGAATTGGTTTGCTGACCTAGGGTTAACACTTTAAGTTTTATCAGGCAGAGCTATTGATATTATTTTTTTTTTGAAGCCTATTATAAAAGTAGCCACATTAATCGATAAGTTCCCAAAGAGAATAATAAGAATAATCTTATTGGTGATACTTACTCCTCTACGTTTTGGTAAAAGAACAACTTTGACAAATCCTGGCATATCTCTCACTAGTTCATTATATAATCGTTCTTCATCAAGTACAAGAATAACATCAACTTCAAAAGCGAGTGCAATGTGAGTCAAATGCTGGTAACCTTTACCTTTTATCCAACCGAACGTGTTAATTATTAATCCAGAATAGTTAACTGTAAAAATAAAATTAATACAAAATTAACCATAGCAATTAAAACATAATACAATATAACAAATTAGCATATATATATTCTAACACTAATTACCATAAAAGTATACAATTCAGGAAAAAATCATTTATAATTAAAAAAAAATTGTTGGACTAAAATTAGGTAGTCATTGCTATTTAATATTTTAATCTATAATAAAAACAAATAATTACTAATTTTTAAACTGTAAGACAACAATAATAATTACAAATACTAGAGTATTTGATTTTTGCTAACATGGAACAATATAATCAAATAATCAATTATTATTTAGTTATGTAATATACTGAATGAGTCAGCTTTATAATTTTAGTTGTCTGTGTTTATATAGTCACAGTAATGAGTTGTTAATTGTATTTAAATAAAATATCCAACATCATTGAAATAGTGAATATACATTAAACTTTACAGGAAATCAATAAACAGTAAACCAGAGTAATTGATTTTTAAATTTATAAACCATAACAATTGTGAATAAGTCAAACTTTATGTGTTCTTCATAATACTTATTAATTATTATTATTATCCTTTTAAAACAGTAAAACAGTAAGTTTTACTCATTAAATATTTACAAAATATTGGAAGTAATACTGAACAAATTATTATAATTAAACTAAAACTCAATTAATTTCATACTGACCTAATGTTTTTTTAAATATTTTATCCAATTATATCGATGGCTACACGACAAATGGGGCTAAATGTGTTTAAAGGTATTCAAGAAGAGTCAAATCATTTCTTTTTACACAAAAAGTCTCACATAAATCCTAAACTATGAAATTCAATATCACTTAAAATTATTATCAGAAAATAGTAAAATGTTCACCAATAGATAGAAATAATCTCCTACTACCCAGTAATATATGCTATGTCACTTAGCCTCTTTTGTTGTCTAGCCATCTGTATAATAGATGTAATGATATAAATTAAGTTCAAATAATATATAATAGATAAAAATTACTTCTAGGATTTTCATCCATTTGTTGATGAATAACTTCTGCCATACGAGATATTAAAGTGTTGTATAAAGTTGAATTAATACCAATTTTTGTATGTCCAAAATGATAGACTAGTGGAGCTGCTTGAGAGAAACTTGCATCTACTTCAGCTGGCCTTTCTACCATGACTGCTCCTACAAATTATTATTCTCGTTAGGACTATTGTCTTATGATTAATTTAAAATCCATACAAACCAATTGTTCCTGGAACTGATATTTGTCCCTGACCCGGGCTAAGGTCGACATAAATCTACGACCAAGAGCATTCATTCTTGTACTATAGTTTAGTAGTATTCTACAAAGAGTAGATTTACCCACATCAGTCGGCCCGACCACCATTGTAATTGGACTTCTTACCTTTTCTTCTTCTGATTTTGCTCGCAGTAGTTCTAATGACGCATGGCAATTTAAACAAGACATCTAAAACATTAAACACGGTTAAAATATGTACACAATAACCAATAGATAATAATTCAGACATTCATAACTATAAAAATAATTAGTTATTAATAATTGTATTGAACTCTACCAAATTTATTTATTTTTTCAGTTGATTTGTGTTCCTTCAGCTGATTAGTATTAAAATATATGAGCTATTTTTTACTCTCAATAGATATTAAGCAATAACTGAAGCTAAAATGAATTGATTTATCAGGTGTTATTACATTTAAGTTTATAAATATTTTGCATTATTTTAGATGTTTAGTTGAGCGTTTAAAATACAAGAATTAATTCAAAAATTGTTTTTTTATTTTATTTTACAATTATGTTTTTATATTATCTAATCTGTGAACACTAAAAAACTTGAATGAGTTTTTTTAATATCGAAGAATTAAAAATTAAAAATACATATTTGAAAGATACATTGTGTTTGTTTACTCTGTCCGATCTAGATGCAATATAGAAATGTACGTTCAGTACAACAAATCTTGTGTTGTTAGCTTTAATATTAGAGTTAATTTAAGTTTAAAAAAATTATTTCTTTTGGGTATTGGCTTTTTAAATATTTTAACTTTTCTTTAGTATACTAATTTATCAAAATTTAAATACCTTAAAAAATCAAACAAACAACCACAGATAATGTTCTAAACTTTATGTTTTGAAATAATGTTAATTTACTTTAATATTTAAGCTAACTTTACAAGATGGGTTCTACTAAATGCAAATTTGGTATGTTTACATAAGTCAGATGGAAAACAAATAGTCTGCAACATTCCCTTAAAATTGAATATTAAACAGAAATATATCCATTTTGATAAAAAGATTTACCAATAGATAAATTAAATTAATTGCAATTAAACTATTTAGTAAATTTGAAGAAAAATATACATTAATGAATGTGATTTTAATATTTTAAAAACAATTGATAGACTATGCATAAACATCACAATATAGTTAAAATTAGTAATAAATAGTAGAAATAAGTAATCTCCATTAAGTAAATTAATTTCAAAATTTCATTATTCTTACCATTGGGGTCTCTTTGGATATATAACTAATTCCTTTTTTCCTCGTAATTTTAATGAACACCCTTGCCATGTAAACACCACAATTTTTGCTCCAAATAAAACTTATATGGTTTACTTTTTACTAATTCTGTCCCAAAAATTTCTGCCAGCCCAGTTTTCAACTAAAAAAAAATAAAAAAATCACCATTAATATATTACATAATATTATTATGTTTATAGGTTATTAGTCTATAGCCTTTAACAGAATATACCTATGTGACTTTACATATTTTATTACACGTTAAGTAGGTATGTTTATGTTTACATAAGTCATTCAGGACCCTCACTCTTCGTTTAAAAATAGAAATCACTTGATTCTAAACAGTATTTTTTTATTTTTTTTTTCGTGAAATAAATACAACTGTAAATACATTTTAAACAATTATAATTGCATAAGTTCATATTTATTCTTTTCAAATGTACCTATCTAATTATTAAAAAAATTTATAAGTGTATTTATTAATTACCTATTATTCTTAATTAACAATACCGAGATTATTTGAAAACTATTTCAACTAGGTATTATTAATCCTTTAATTCTATTATTATTATAATAATATACCATACTACTATACTGACATAATAATATGGAAGATATCATAATTGTAAATTAAAAATATATAGAGCTGTGTACTTGTTGTCGTAAAATTGTATTTACATTACCTACTACCTATCTTCACATTCAAATGTTGTATCAGATGTAACTGACTTGATGTACCTACCAATTTAATGAGTAACATATTTTATATGCAGGACTATTGGAGGTACTTACTTCTAACACAACTGTTTCATTCTTGTTTTCAACTTCAAACCTAAGTTCATGGTCAGGTTTCAATTGGAATTCCTGATCTTCGATTTGAAATTCTACGCTCTCTGACATGATTGATATGTATGTTTATTCAATATTTCAAAGCACTGAAAACACACGGAGAAACGATTAAAACATAAGTATAACACGAAGGTAAATGACTCGCTATAGCCGATTAGTGCAATTCTTTTGAAAGAAATCAAGACACACATTGTTACACATAAACCGACGAAAAACGTCTAACTAAAGTTGGTCCATTAATTTATCATACTAAAACTGACTTACAATATTGACGGCTGATCATAAAACAAAATTAATTCAGTTGGGTTTTTAACAAGCGTAGGCACACCACAGGGCACAGACGACATAAACAA